CACCCCTTCCATCGCTCCCTCATTCACCTGACAAAATTTCATCGCCCGACAACACATCCTTCGTCGCCCGACGATCTTGCACGAACAGGATTTTCCTGTTGCAATTTCCTACATAAACCAGTCTGATTTTCACCCGTTTTAAGCACTTCTAACCTCCAAATTTTGATCTAAAGTAGTAGTTTTACAAATAAAAATATATAGACTTCATCTACTTCATTAACCTATCATCCCATAACAATTTTCTACATCTAAATCCTCATTATTCATCGTCTTCCTAAACCTATAATTTCTAGATCGAGATTTCATGGAACAACATCATAACTACAACAACTATCAGCAACAATTACAACATTAACATCACAAGATTCACAATTTCATATAGAATCATATACAAACAACATCAATCAACCAAAAGGGGAATCATACATCAATTATACAAAAACCTAAAGAGGGAAAGAAGCCATCACTATCCTCTCATATTATAATCACCATTTAGAGAACTCGTTCACCCCATTGCCTTAGTTTGAAGCTTTGATCCTTCAAAATTTAAGGAATCCTCCTAGCCCTAGTTCTTCCATTCTCTTCTCTTCTATCGTTCTACGATCGTTCTATTTTTCTCTTTCTGTTCTCACTTTCTTGTTTTTCTAATGATAATCTCTAGACCCCTAATAATTAATCTCAACTGTGCCCTTACTCAATTAAATAATTATTTAATAAAATAGTATGAATTCTATTATTCTACTAACAATTTCATTTAATTATTATAAAATAATAATAGCTCTTTTATTTAATCCAAATAATACTAATAGGCAAATTATCTCTCTCACCCTTATATTTCTATGCTTTTAGCCATACACCTCTATCATCTTAATTTCTATAGTTTCTAAAGCCTCTACTTCTCGAAATTTGCATCACAACACATCATAGAATTCACAAAAGCATAAAATTCACCATATCATCTAATTATTTTTAATAAAATAATTCTAACTAAATCAAGGTGTTACACTAAGGGAGCGATCATCTCACAAAAATTCAAACACAAAATTTCAATCAAACTTCTTCTTTCATCCCAAGTTTCACAAATCAATCACAATACTTATTAACACAATATTATTCCACACTTTTTTTCTTTTTCAAAGCTTTTTCAAAAAAATTTCTTTCTTTTTCTTTTCTTTATTTCTTTTTATTTTATTTTCTTTCTTACAACCCCATAGAAATCACAACATAAGCACATAAACATTCCTCTTTCTGACTTGAATTCAACCATATCATAATGTGAATACTCCCTACTTTCTTAGGCAAGTTAAAAATTCAAACCAAAAGCAATGGTTGAGGGTTCAAGAAAATAAATAAATCAACATCCATACAAAAAGATGAACTAAACACTCTTAGACAAGCATTTAGCAAAAACAACATGAGCATTGACAAAAAGCTCAAAGGGGTTACAAATGATCATACACTTACAATGTGAATTGACTATTTGGCTAGATAGTTATATTCAAAATGAATCAAAATGCCTTGATCACTTTTATGCAATCATACAATCAACATAAACAAAATATTAAACATAATAAAGTCTATCTAAAATAAGAATTGTGGCCTCCAGTATATAGTAAAAAGGGAACTAAAGTGATTCTAGTCAAAAACAAGTAATGCAAAAAAATGAACGGTATAGTAATTATACAAATGATAAATTTCCTAAACATGTTATGCTATAGAAAACGATAAACGAGTACCTGGCGTTTACCAACTTTGAAAACTATCATTACCATACATCCGCAGGTTGAAACACTCAAATTCAGAAAATTACCAAATGGGACTTCAAGTTACCGGACCAAAATTGGAGTTGAAACAACAAATGAAAATTATTAGAAAAATAACACTATTATGTATTACTCTAAAAAACCTAGGTGAAAGAGAGAAAAAGGATGACCAAGTGAAATAAATAGAGTTCACTGGCGCATCACAACAGAGTGCACTAAGCGCCAAAACACGCGCTAAACACGCTACACCAGTAGCAGAAAAATAGGATAGCAACAACATGTAATTCTAATGCAACATCCACCATCACCTACACAATCTAAATTACACAACTACACAAAGTTTACAACACACACACACACACACACACACACGCACACACAAATTTCCTCAACTAATAAAAGCAAGCTCTCCGAAGTTTAAACAAGTTGAAAAGTAAAGATTTGAGATTTTAAAATAGGTCTAATTTCAACTTGTTTAAACAAAAATCAATACGCTATCTAAACTAACACAGTGAAAAACAATAAAACATGCTTGTTTTACGTCGTAAGCTTGACGCCTGTTATTTACAAACTAACACGTTGCTTGGAATGAGTCAAATGCTTCACTCCCGTCTTTGCTAAAATTTCTTCAAGCTCCAACCGAAACTACATATTTAATCACACTTTGGGCAAACGCGAAACAAAACAAGTATACAATATACAAATGAACAAATTAAATAAATGTAAAAAAATAGACAAGTATGGAGAAAATGTACAAATATACAATATAGACATGTTTACGAAACTTAGAAAGCAAAACTATCGCGATGTAGTTAATATCAACACCAATCCCCGACAACGACGCCATTTTGCTGGAGCGGTATAGCGGCAAGAAAAAAGTAAAGTATTATTTTACCGAGTGATATATGTTATATCATATCGTCTCCGCATGGATTAGTGAGAGGGAAAAACTATCGTTCAACAATTTCAATCCTGCTGAGAGCATGCTAAGCGTGACCTGAAGCAACTTTATCTCTTAAATTTGTCCAAAAATGCCTATCCGGAGCCGGCCTTCGACACCTTATTCCTCAATGATCCAAATACGCAACAATACCTACAAAAAGACATTAAAATAATCAAACGGTACATAAATGAATAAAAAACTTAATAATACACAAAGTATACATATTTACACACAAAGCATGGAATTATTCAAAGAATATTAACAAAGAACCGATAAGTGCCATAAATTATATATACAAAATAACGATATTTTTGCACTTATCACCTGAATGGATTTATATTACACATATACTAAATACTAATTTGTAAAGTTTTAATTCATACTTCAATGAGTTACTATTCATATAATTATAAAATATAGGCTAATAATATACACCAACTTTTAAGCATTGATATGTATTTATAATAAGTCGTACAATCGATTCTTTAATTTCAATTATATAAAACAATAGCGAAAGAAAGATATAAAAGATGGATATTAAAACGAACAGTCTACTGCTGGTATCTCATAGATACATTTACATCTACTCGTAAATCTATGTCTGCAAGAACCTTCATTACGATAAACAATCTACAACTGTTAAATTGAGAAATAGCAAAATAAATATTTAAAAGATGGATATTAAAATGAACAGTTTACAACTGGTATCTCATAGATACATTTACATCTAGCCGTGAATCTATTTTGCGCATTCAGTTGGTTAACATTCATATAGTTACAATATATAATCATTTATCAAATTTGAATTTTCCGTTTATAAAAATAATTGTAACTTATCCTCATTAATAAAAATAATTGTTTCAATAGGTAAATTTTTTCCTGTTTATAAGCGCCTCGAACCCGTGTGTTCATTTATAAAAAATATTTGAAACTTATTCTCGTTTATAAAAATAATTGTATTAATAGTTGAATTTTTCCGATTTTTAAAAATATTTGTAATTTATTACTATTTATAAAAGTTATTGTAACTTATTTTCGTTTGTAAAAGTAATATATCAATATCTAAACTTTTTTCCATTTATAAGTGTCTTACCCATGTGACAAATTATAAAAATATTTTAACTTATTCATGTTAAAAACAATTGTATTAATATTTGAATTTATAAAATTATTTGTAATTTGTTCATGTTTATAAAAATAATTGTATAAATTTTTATCATTTATCATTATTTTTTTCTTGATTATTGTTTATCATTATTTTTTCATGACTACCATTTATATTTTTTTTTGAAAAGATTTTGTTTTGTTTTAGTAATTTATAAATTTAAAAAAAATTACAAAATCTCTGTGATTTTATTTTGTTTTTATTAACCTTTTTCTAAAAATATAAATAATTACAAAATACATTTTTATTTCATGTAAGAATTTTGAATTTTAATTAAAAAAATTAGTAGTATTAGACACCTAAAAACCAAAATAGGATATAATCATATCACATTAAATTGAAAAGAGAACTTTAAAATTCCCTTTTTATAGTGAAAATATTTTAAATTGACAAACTAAATTATTCATATGTTTTTAAAATGAAAAACTATATGTCAATACCCTCATTTGACATTCATCCACTTTTTTTAAAAACTCTAGAGTTTACACGGAGATGGTGGAGGATGAAAAATCGTAACTCGAGAATTGTAACACGATTCTACTACTAATTAAAAATATATTTATTTATATACGCATAGATTTATATACAGCCCAAAAATAATTATATATAAAGGAAATAGGTTACAAATCATAATTAAAATTCATAAGTTCACATCATATTCATGAATTCTTAACAAAAAAAATTAATTCAAGATAAAAATAATCTTTTAGTAAAAAAACAATCATAAAACACACATTCAAAATGTCTTCAAATTAGAATTAAATTTTGTTTATAATTAAACTATTTAATGCTAAGAAACTATTAAACTATAATATCACAATTCTTCTTTTTGTATTTTGTTCCATCAAGAGCAATCCTCTTCAAAGATAAACTCGATGTGTAGATGCTACATGAAATCCACTTCCCCTTCCTAAGAGCTGCAACACAACAACAAAATAAGTCACAAATCTATAATATAAAAAATAGCAGCAAAAGGGTTAACATACTTAATGTGTTTTGAATACCTATAGATATTATGGCATTTTCAATCTTAGATAAATTAAAATTAATAAGTCATATTACAAAATACTCTCGGTGTTGTCATGTCTCTGGAGGTTCTCTATTTTCTCCAAACCCTCAGCATCATCAATCATTTGGGCGAAACAGATTCACACCCGTTGCTAACATTTTTGTCAGCCTCACCTATCTTTAAGATGTTTTCAAGCCCTTCAAGACAAACTGTCACAATCCTAGGATCAGGACATATGAGAAGATCACACAAAGGTTTAATACACCCTTGATTTACCAATATCTGGTCAACAAAGGAAAAATAATTTATGATATCTTGAAACAAAAATGTTGTAAAACCAATAAATATACTGAGGAACATTGCAAAGATGAGGATCTCCCCATACTTGAGTTGTTCATGAGATCCACCCGATGTAGCATTAGAGATGGCCCGTGCAGCTTCTTTCTTGATATCAAACTCAGAATTTTGAACCAAGACAACCAAAGGAGGAATTATATTGACATCAATTACGGCCTGTGAATTTTCAAAAATAGAGAGAAATATAAACAATTAAAATTATTAGCCAAGAGATTCATAAAATGGGGAAGAATTTGATGGTTGGTGATAACCTGGATAGAAAAGAATCACATTAACACAAACCAAAAATCAAAAGTAAAATAATAATCAAGTGATTCATGATGGCAATATATCAAAACTCCAATGCTGCTAGTTGTTAGGAAGAAAGAGGCATGGAGTGCAAGGTATGGCAGAGGATATTTGTGCAACGGGGTGATAAAGAAATTGTGAAGGAGGAGGAGATGGTGGTAAATATTGATGAGGCAAAATATAATCATTAAATTGGTGGCTTAAGCTTATGAGTGCATATTAAGTCAAATCAACTCTTACTACTTCTGCCTTTTCAGAAAATTCTGGTTTTCCAATGGAACATTGTATCTATCAAAGTGACTTTGGATCGGTAAAAGATGTATAGTTGCAACTGATTTTGGTTTCTCAATGGAATATTGTATCTATCAAAGTGACTTTTAAATTACTTTTAAGATGTATTTGAAAAATGACAAGTTATGTAAATAAATTCTGCACCGAAAAATCAGTATGAAATAGAATAAAATAAAAGAAAAATCAGCCTAAAAAAATATAATATGAACACCTCACATGAATTAATTGTCAAATGTATGTGGTGATAACAGTGTTATAAAAACCCGTTTTTGTCCATGAAATAAGAAAAGTTTGTGCATGTAATCTAATGGGGTAAGATGTAAATTTTCAAATACTTTACTTCTTATATATTTATAATAGACTCTTATCTCCTGAATTAATTGATTTGAGATACTACTCATATTTGATAATTAGTGTATATGAAAAATGTATAAGAATTTAAATGGTGTATTTTCAAAATTTGAGTCTAAAATATCTTTTGTGGAAACATATTTGATTTGTAGAAACAATATCGTTAATTACTTTATTTAAGTGTTATGATTGTTAGAATATATTAGGCTCATTTATTTTGTATATTAACTAGTAAAGGATAAGTGCGTTTATATGGATTACGAAAAATTGATATAAATATTTAACAAATATTATATAGTTATGGTTAAGAAATTTATATAAAAATATATATGAATTAAGAGAAAAAAAAATTTTCAACGATAATTGTCATACACATATTAATTTAATTTATCAAGTTGTAGTAGTTGTCGGGATATACATGGATTTAGTAATTGCTATTAAACTAAATATACGATGGAAAAATAGGTTTGGTCCTTCAGGCATGCCTATAATTTTTATAATTACTTATAATTTTAATTTTACAATTTCTATTAACAAACATTATAAAATAAAACAAATTAAAATTGATAATAATTTAGTTAGATTTAATAAATTGAATAATATTATGTTTGTTAAATTTGTGTAGTAATTTATAAGTTATATGCTATAGTAATTTAGAAGTCATTAAACATATGATCTCTAATATCGGTTCAATTTAAGTAAATATTTTGTCGGTCTGTCGGAAAAATAGGTTCGACCCGTCGGGCATGCCTATAATTTTTAAATTCTTCTGTATTGTAATTAAGTTTCAAAATTTAAACATATGATTTTGCGATTCTCTTAAATAACAAATTTATTTATAGTATTACACTTTTGTATGTTTGCGTCCCTGCTACACAACTTTTCTATTTTAGCCTTTAACTTCATAACTTATTGACACGTTTTAAGGATAATTTTTTCTTTTAAAAATATATAAATACGTTTATATTATTTTATAATAATAAAGAACATATTAATGAAATTTGTTTCATTTTTAACGCCTAATAATTGTTTTGATAATATAATAATAATAATAATAATAAATAAATAAATAAATAAAGGACTCGTGCGTTTGCACGGGTCGCACAAACAGATATAACATTTATTATTAATTAATTTCAATATAAAATTAATTTGATTTTACATCTTATTAATGAATTTCAATATAAAATTAATTTGATTTTATATCTTATTAATTAATTTGAATGATATGATTCTATGAGTATGATCTTTGAAACGTTATAATAAAGATAAATTATTTTCACACTTGGTGAATTTTTTGTTTTTGATTTTTTATTCTCAAGAATCATTATTTCCAAAGTGCTATAATATTAATATTGTTTTAATAATATATATTTTTATTAATTTTAATAATTTTAAAATAAATACTTTTTAGAATATTTGCACTATTTTTAAACTTTTTAGTTTTAAAATAATATTTTATAAATATGTATAATTAAAAGTTTCCTTTTTAAAGTATAGTACTATTTAAAATGAAAGGGAAAGAGTTATAAGTAAATGCAGATATCATATGTATATAGTATAACTTTATTTACATATTTTTAAGAAAATTGTCAATAAATAGAAGTTAATATAATTTAAAGTAGGTTTATTAATTTATTATAAATTTAATTGAAATGTATTGATAGTGTAAAGAAATTTTACATTATCAACGGTTAATCTCATTTATTATTAATATTATTATTAATATTAATATTAATGATCACATATTTAATTATTAATATAAAACGTAAAAATAATTGTCTAATTAAATTAATAATAAAAATGGGATAGAAATAATTATCTTTAATTATAATTTATTCTTTTAAACTACTTGTTCTTAAATCTTAAATAGGATCTTTTGTTGAACAAACCAATAATTCATTTTCTCATATATTGCTTCTTTGACAATTTCACACGCTTTTTCATTACACACTTTTCTCTTACCCTAATTCCATAAAGCCACAAAGCGACGAAACCATTCTATTAATTTCTCTGTAATCTGTAAAAGAATCTTGTAACAGAATAAAAGTATTCTTATAACAGCAATAGCAATTCCAATTTTATGTAAGATTCCTTCCTTTAAAGGAAACATGAATTTCTCTGTAACAACAAATATTATCCCTAATATAAATATCCCATTTATATAGTACATTTTTGTTTTGTCAAAATCAAATTGTTAATTTTCTAGTTTTTTTTTCTCCTCTAAAATCAAACTATTAAACTTCTGGCTTTGTTTATCAAATTCAAAACATAATAAGAAAAATCTTACAAAAACTTCAAAACATAATATACACAAACTGTTACTAAAGAAAAAAACCATAAAAACATAAAATACACATAAAAGAAAGAATACTTTTATAAATACAGAATATTTTAAGAGTTTTGACGGCAAGAGTCGTGTGGGAGATTGTTTCAAATTAGAGTGAAGAAAAGAAATAGAACCCATAAAAGCCTAAAACAAAATATGATGTTGAAAAATAAAGGATTAAACGAACACCAATTGAAAATCACTTTAATCTTTTAACAGATCTATGATTAAATAACCAAAATATTAAAACCAAAATTTTAAAAACTAATTACATGATTGAAACCAAAACTCACCGGATCTATAAATGCAGAACGGTGAAAAGATGAAGAGACGAGAGCACGATATGAAGATGGAACATAGATATTGAGTAGTCCGACCCATGTGAAGTTGCCTCCGTGACCTCCTTTCATCGGCGATCTGCCCATTCCTGAAATATAAAAACAACATTAAGAATGAAGCATAGGAAATAGCAAAAATCGTGCAGGCTGAGAGAAAAGTAATAAAAATGCAACTCATAAAAGATTAGAGAGATCTATGAAGATTTAAGGATGATTATGGTGATTATTTATCAGAGTGTTTTGAATACGTAAAGGTTTTGATAATAGTGATAGCAACAACTATTTTGTAGCGTTGGTATTGATAAATAATATGAAGCGTGATTTCAGTAATTTGAAGAGTGAAATTTTTTTATTTTAATAATAATGAGTATTAGATTAATTAAATAATGAAATGATTATGAGTTGTAATGAAATTTAAGTGTATAAAAAATCATCTCTAAACTATTTAGTTAGGACATTAAAGTAATTTTAGTAACACATTATTTTATTATATTATTAATACATTTGTCTCTAATTTATTAATCATTGAGATGTCACTATAATATTCTACGAATCATTAAAGGTTTAATGGTTATGTTTAAAAGGATAAATGTCACTTTTTTTTAAAGTTAGTCAAAGTTTATTTTTAATTTTTTTATACTAATTATACAATTGCATATACGAAAAAGCATCTATAATAATATTCCATGTCCATTTTTTATTAAAAAAGATATTTATTCATTCAAATTGATAAAATATATCGATTATTATAAATTTAAGATTGCTAAAAATTAAAAAAGATGAATTTAAAAACAATCTTGCAGCATCTAGATTAATAACATACAACGACAACATAAAAGTGATTACAAATATAACAAAATAAAAGTAACTTGAATATTCATACTTTCAGATCTGCAACATTGACGCCCAAGTCTTCATCAGATTTGTAATGAATTAAAATGAAAATATCAATCTGAACCAACGAACATCGTATTGAAACGAAAAAATCAATAAACATCACATAAAACAACGAAAACTAAAAAACACACACAAAAAAAACAAATCTATATGAATAATTTATTTAAATAAAAAGAAAGAAAAAGAATGACGTTAATGGGTGATTTCAAGTCAAAAATAACCAAAAATCATCCGCACAAAAGATGAATAAAAGAAGAGAAAAATTGAGGATATCATAAACCATACTGAAAATTATAAAATATACATTTATGCATTTATATATAGTGAAATTAATTATTATTAATATGTATCATTTTGAATTGTGTTGATTTATTACTAAACTCTTTTGTTTTATTATAATGTTGTATGTTGATCTATATGGACCATTTGAGATAACATTGTAAGTTATAAAGTCATCAATACTTATTGACTCTATTTACGTGAGATGAAAGTTACACTATTCGAGGTTAGTTGTAATTTGATAATTATTTTTGAATCTCTTGTGATTTTATATAATTGCAACAAGGAAGAATTTTTTAAAATATTATTCACTTCCTTTTTTAAAATTAAAATTATGCAATTATATATAAGTTAAATATTGTTATTTTTTAGAATATTTTAAAATTAATTTCATTATTATATAATTGCATTTAAGGAGAAATTTATTTCTAATATTATTTACTTCTTTAAAAATGATAAAATGTGCATTTATTTAAAGATATTATTATTTTTAGAATATTCTAAAATTAAAATTCTCTATTTATTTTACTATTTTAAGAGTTGTATTCTAGATAATTATGTAATAACTCTTAATTTGTATAATTATAATCTCACTTATCGTGGATATAATTATACAAATTTCTTTATTTTTAATAAAATATAATCAATCTCAATTTGTATGATTGCAATTCACCTATCGTAGATACAATTATATAATTTTTGTTTAGTAAAATAATTAAATTTAATTAATTATAATTAATATTATATTGATAATAGTTATACCCTATCGGTATGTCATTATTAATATCATTTTTGTTCAATGTACTTGCGATTTAGAATTATATAAATTATGGTTCGAGTACCTTATTGGTATATTAAAATTTTTGTGACATAATATTTGTATATTGTTATATTTCTTGTTTAAAATTATTGAAACTATTATTTTAGAAATAAAAAATTATTCTTTCTTTAAAGACATGTAATACTTTATGAAATTTAATAATTTATTTTCTCTATTTTTTTAAATAAATTTCAATTCTCTTTGTATTATGTAAGTGATGGACATACCCTATTGGTATAACGTTGTTTGACATGATAAACGTGTGATAGATAAAATAGTTGAATATATGTTTACAATATTTTCTAAACTCTTGAGTTAATAATTAAACTATTATTTTCTATCAAGTTGGAGAATTTAACATGTCAATTATGTTAGAAATGAGAAACAAATATTATTTATTTAATATAATATTATTTTATTGAGACTTATATTGAGGATATTATAGTCTTATGTTAGTAATAAAAATTTATGGCTATTTGTGTTATATCTTCAATAATAGTTAAAATTAAGTCTCATATTTTTCCACTGCGTATAACATAATATGTTTCTCAAATATGCAATTATATTTGTAGCATTTGAGTTTTGAGTGAGTTATTAATATGTTGTATATAATCTTATATTCTATTTAAAATTATAGGGATTTGATCTCATTCAAATGATGATAAACATTTTATATGACAATCATATTCTTTCATGTGAAATCATATCAATAAAAACAAAATTTTGCAATAAAAACAAAATTAGTATCTCATTGTATAATTAGAGTATATAATACTAGTGGCCTCCGATAAATCTTTATACATGTTGGATCAGTGGGAGAGCATGTGTACACAATCATATAATCTAAAAAAAAAGATTATTATTCTCATACTGTCATATATTGTCATATTATTCTGCATCGTTGAAACTTACTTCTCTTTTAATTGATTAGTGTTTTGACCATTATTGATATTCTATTGTTAACACCAATATTTTTAATAATTAATTATTCTCACCCAAGTGGGAGATTGTTAGATTAATTATTTAATTAATCGAATATGAATTGAAATAATTAATTATTAATTAATTATATTATGGTCAATTGTTATTAAACACTAATTACTGATGAATTATTTAATTGAGTTTTATCTCTGAATGGATCATGATGGGTTGGACCACTCAGTTAAGCCTAATGAGATGTCCATATTCTCATTCGTTTAGTTATTTAAGTGTTGCCCCATTAAACGATTAACATACTCTGAAAAATCGAGAAGACAATGAGAGTAGTATTCCTCTCATAATCACTCTCTCCGAAGCCAGTCTCTCAAATCATGTAAGGTACATGATTCCTATTACTATTGATTATTCTATAATATAACCATATGCTATAATTTATATCTATATGATTTAATTAAATTTATCACAATCTTGTTAGTTAGTTAATTCTTGTTATGTAGTTATTTGGGCTTTTAGCATGTATTTGGGTCTGGGCATTTTTGCCTATATAAAGGGCCATTGTGTTTGTAATAACAAGTACAGTAGCAACAATAATATACATTCAGTTTAGAAAATTAGTTACACTTAACTAACTCACAATCTCTCTCCCTCTCTCTCTTCTTCTTCTTCTTCTTCTTCTTCTTCTTCTTCTTTTCATAATATCATCTTTCTTGAATCCTTTGTTCCAACAAATTGGTATCAGAGCTTGTTTGAGATTTAGAGAGAATCTAATGGCAAACAGATCAACAACATCAACACAGTTTCCAGCGAATCTACCGGTTTTCAAAGGTGAAAACTATTAATGATGGGTGACACAAATGAAGGTTATTTTCAAATTTCAAGATGTTGTAAAAATCTTGAATGATGGAATATCACAACTGGATAAAGATGCTACGGAAGCCCAGAAAGTTGCGCACAAAGATCAGAGGAAGAAAGATGGAAAGACACTGTTATTAATTCACCAGTGTGTAGATTGTGATGTATTTGAGAAGATAATTGAAGAAGAAACAACAAAAGGAGCTTGAGAAAAGCTGAAATCCTTGTATGGTAGAGATGAGAAACTGAAGAAGGTGAAGTTGCAGACATTGAGGAAGCAGTATGAGATGCTTCATATGAAAGAGGATGAATCTATTTCTGCATATTTCTCAAGAGTTGTGGCGCTAACAAACCATATGAAGGCGTGTGGTGAAGCGCTAACGGATCTACAAAAGATAGAAAAGGTATTGAGATCTTTAATTGCAGACTTTGATTACTTTGTTGTAACAATTGAAGAGGCCAAGAATCTATCTGAGATGAAGTTGGAAGCACTTCAAGCTTCATTGGAGGCTCACGAAATGAGGCTGCAGCAGAGAAACTCAGAAAGAGAGAAGAGAACTGAACAAGCATTGCAATCAAGATTCAACAAGAAAGCTGGAAAAGAGAAGTCGAAGCAGCGAAAGAATCCTGCTGGTGATGAGAAGTCAAACAAGAATATTGATTCGAAAGGTGTGGGCAACAAGTATTCAGGGAAGAAAGTTGACACGAAAGAGGTGCAATGTTACAATTGTTGAGGTTTTGGCCACTATGCTAGAGACTGCTGAAGAAAGAAAGCTGCGAGGTCGAAAAATAGTGATGAAGCTCAATATGCACGAGCTGGAGATAGTGATTCTGATGATGTGTTGTTGCTGGTGAACGCTCAGTCGACTACTGAGAAAAACAACATGTGGTATATGGATTCAGGATGTAGCAACCACATGATTGGCGATAAAAACTGGTTTACCAAGTTAGATGAGTCAGTCGAAAAAGTGATAAAGTTTGCAGATGACAGACATATCAAGTCAGGTGGTAAAGAAGATATTCGATTATCAAAAAGGATGGTCGAAAGGCTACTATCACTGAAGTTCTATATGTACCTTCGATGACAAGTAACTTGATAAGTGTAGATCAATTACTTGCAAAAGGCTTCAATATGAAGTTGGAGAATAATCAGATGAAGGTATATAGGGTTGATGGGAGGCTAATCATGAAAGCACCATTGGCGGAGAACAAAACATTCAGGGTTGAACTCAACACATCAAATCACAAATGTCTTGCTTCAACTATATAAGAAGACAAGAACTGGCTACGGCATCACAAG